CCCCAAAACCCCAAAACCCCAAAACCCCTTTATGCTTAATTCAAAAAAATTGAAATTTAATGTTTATTTGTCGGGTAAATAAACCATATGATGAAATACAATCAATAATAGATGGTAGAAAATCAATTATCAGCTAAAGCTGCAAACCTGTTTGTAAACTTAGGCTTAGTAACTACTTTCTTTTTGGGGTCTTCTTTAACTGGGACTGGGGGCTTAACGACTGGTTTTTCTTTTGGTTACCTTTTAACTTCTTCCTTAGGCTTTCTGGGTTGGTTTTCATTTTAAGAATCTTGATTCGACTGATGCCTTTATTCATGATGCCTTGACTCTTGATTATCGGCTCTGGGTTCATTCTTTTATTGATTTTACTCATCATTATTTGATCTCTCAATATTGTGTTCCTTTCTTTGATATTGAGTTTTGGGTTATTGTTGAGAATTTTGGCCCTCTCTATTGTCATTTCTTTCATAGCCACCTCTGCCACCTCGACCTCTACCACCTCTAGGTCTGTATTCATTATTTCCTTGATTTGAGTTGTAGTCTCTATCTCTATTATCATATTTTTGATATGAGTCTTTTCTGTACTATTAAGCAGGTCTCTCTGAGTTATATGCTTCCTTTACTTCTTCTTTGCCTTCATTAGTTTGACTGCTTGTTTATTATTCCTAGCTTTATTCCTAAGTGCTTGTCTTCTTTTTTGCTACGTACTTATGAACTCTGGTATCAATTTCTTTAACTCTTGGATTCTAATCTTCGTCAAAATCTTCATCTTAATTTAGATCTTCATAATCTTCATCTTTTGGTGGATATTATCTATCTGGTCTGTCTTCTCTATTTTAATTATACTGTGCTCCACCTCTCTATCCTCTGAATCCACCTCTTTAGAAACTGCCTCTTTGGCCTCTAGGAACATAGTTATCTCCTCCTCTATTGCTCTAATATCTTCTTTCTCCTCCTCTATCTTCTCTATTTCCTACATTTCTTTGGAATTGATCTCTTTACCCTTCAGTCTATTATTGTTGTCTTGGTTCTCCTTAATCTTATGATGCTGATTAGTATGAATCTTTCTACAAAATTTAAGGTCTTGATGCTGGTTGTTTTTCAACTTTTTATTCTTCTTACTCAACTTCAGGTTGTTTTTCAGTCTCAACAGGTGCTGATTTTTACTGTTTAAGGAAAGTTGGTCTTTCCCCCTTAAACTTAATACCGCTAGCCTCTGCTTCTTATTTCAACTCTTCTTGTGTCTTTTCAATTTATTAATGATGACTGTGATGATGCTAGAATTAGTTACCACCCTCTCTAGGTTTTCCTCTTCGATCCCCATAGCCACCTTGTCTATCTTAACCTTGTCTGTCCTAACCTTGTCTATCTTGGTAAGGTCTTTAACCTCTTCTCTCTTACTATTATTTCTCATGCTTTTCAGCCTCAATATCGCCGTATCTCACAAATACTTCTTCATTCTTTTGCAAGTATATAGCTACTCTGGCTGAATCATCCATAATAGATTTATTATCAGTGAAATGTTTGTAGATACTAATAGATTTTTCTTTATCTTAAACCCAGAAAGTTACTCTTAATTTATCATTAGCTGCGTTCCCATCTCTTGATCTCATAGTGAAGAATGATGATTTTTCAGCACCCAAATCTGCTAAATAACTCATCATCTCAACTTCGAATTATTAATTGAAATCAAGCTCTTCTTTTTGCTTGAACACATGTAACTTAAATTCATTTCCAAATTGGCCTGGCTCCTCATTTTCCAAGATATTGAGATAAAAGCCTGTATCATAGAGATAAAACTTCCTATAATTAGTATTCTTATCAATTTCTTCTCTTTCTCTTGGTGGTCTATCGTAGCCACCTCTTCCGCCTCTGCCGCCACGATCTCCACGATCCCCACGGCCTCCTCTACCGCCGCGGTCTCCTCTATCACCACGATATCCTCTTCCACCGCGATCTCCACGATCACCGCGATCACCTCTATATCCTCCTCTATTCTCTCCTCCTTCTTGATTATTTTGTCCTTCTTAATCATAATATCTTCCTCTTCCTCCTCTACCTCTTCCTGCGCCGCCTCTGCGAACTTGGTAGTTTCTTTGTCCATATTCTAGTTTGCCAATTAATTAAAATCTATAATAGTACCTTCATTTTCTGGGTTTTCCTCTTGTTCAGCACCTTCATCACCTCCTCTGCGCTCATCTTATCTTTAGGCTTAATATTTAACTTCTCCTTGACGACTCTGATAATTGCTGGTTTATTAGATTCCAATTTCACCATCATCAGATCCATCATCGTCTGAATCACCTTCGGCCCAGTTTGCGTCTAAAGTATTAGATAAGAGACATGCAAGCAAATATACATTAAGGCTTAGTTTTTTGGTCTTCCATTTGTGTTTTTAGTCGGAATTATTACTATAATATATTAATAACCTATGATTTCTCTATTTAATACAATAATTTCATCTTTATAGAAAGGGGTTTTGGGGTTTTGGGGTTTTGGGG